CAGAACAAACCATGATACACTGCAGAATCTGTCCATGTTTATTCATATGCAATTTTAACTAGAAAATTACATATTACCTAGTGAATATTAAACTTTAGTTATTGTATAGCATTATGTTTGTACCGAAAAAAAGTGATAAAATTGAATTAAAATAAAATACACTGATAATGATAAACGTGGTAACCGTTCACAGTTTTATTAATATCAACACATACTGTCATCCTGTCACATATTAATACTTTATGTGTACATGGTTATTCTTTTGTACTCTTTTGTACCACCGCAGGTGGTTGTGAGAGAATAAACTGTTTCTGTTTGTGCTAAATGTAACTACAGAGAGGCAATCTGAAGGATGAAGACCCAAACTGACACTGACAGTGATCAATGATTAATAAACCATGAATATGATTAATATACAAGTTGATTAGCAAAGCAACTGTATAACAGCTATTACAAAAGATAGCTAAAACAGCACCCTGACAAGACAATTGTCAAGACGCACAGATAGCCAATTAAGCCGGCCACTAGACCTGAGAGTTAATTAACTCAACGCTATGATCAGTGAATAACCACGGCTTGGGTAAAATAGACCAATATGCCTTAAAAGATATAAAGCCTTATAATAGACTAAAGCCGCCTGGACTGAGCAAGGAAATGCTGACCTTCAAAGAAAATACAGGTACTTGGCCTTCAGAGTATCTAGACTCACAACAATATAAGGGTACTTGTCCAAGAGAGTAACTTGACTCGCAACTATAAAAGGTACTTGACCTAGGCAATTCCGGGAATATTGGTTATTCACGTATTACAAGAAAAGGAGTATAAAATCTAACACACTAGTCAATAGATTTAGTTCAGTAACACCAGACGTAATTCAGTACAAGATAGAAATCAACCATATTTACTTACTAGCGAAACTAAGTTCCGGCCTGACCGCAGAACGACCCCTGAACAATGCCTCAAGATGACGATGTTGGAGATCTAACCAGCGCTTCTGCAGCTGGAGGTGCCGATTTCGCACTCGGAAGATAGATACACTTTATAGCGCCAATGTATTTAAACGAGGCGAGCGGACGTCAGAGGAGACAACCTCCCCTTGCTAGCCGGGAGAACGGTACAGCCTGGTGAGCTAACAGAATTGTGGTTTCTAAAATAAGGCACACTAACTACTAATGCAGTATGGGAGTTGTAGGTATCACAATAAAGGGCTACAAAGGCTACCACATGGTGCCATTAACCATTTACAACCTGATATGTACAATTAGTAAGGTGGCAAAAATGACCATAAATATACCCAGAGGCAAAAGTTATTGTGACATGGAATTTTTTCATATTAGTAATCTTGTGAATGATTGTTTGGATTTAAACCAGAGAAAGGGTGTGTTATAATGATGGAAGAAACGCAACCAAGCAGTTTGATGTTTGAATTGCACCAAGTAGACATATTCGAGAAAAATGGCCAGCAATGTTCGCATTAGTAGGCCAGACAACAAGGCGCTTATCATTTCAACTCAACGCAGTCTTAAGAAGTGCAGAAAACACCTCTATTCTCCTCTTATTCACGCCTACGGTAGAATGACAGGTGGAGAGCTGTACGTTTGCTTCAGTATGGTACCTCGCGGCGTGACGTTGCTCGTCGATTCAACGTTCATACGCCTGACGTTTTCTGAAAGACAATCAAGTTACAGACCGTCATCGTAGAGGTCACCCACCAGTAACGATGCCACGTCAAGACCGATGGATTCGAACCACGCACCTCCGACATAGGTTCCAGCCAGCAACCCTTTCAGCCCATGCCACACCTGGCAACATAGGTGTATCTGCGAGAACAGTTCGAAGACGTCTACGGCATCCGTGTAAGACGCACAACCCGACGGTCAATTCTCACGCCAGAACAACGACGTCGATTTTCGCCAGTGGAGCAGACAACACTTGCGATAGGGAGCACGTGAGTGGAGAAGAAGTCTCACCGATGAGTCACGTTTCCTTCTTCACCGAGCTGACCGCAGGACAAATGTCTACAGGCACACAGGTGAACGTTACATCAGGTCATGTTTTCACGTATGGGATCGTTATGGAGGGGGGCCGTTATGATCTGGGATGGGATAACAGCTGCAGCAAGGACGCCAATGATTGTGATTGAGGGGAACTTGAATGCAATGCGGTACAGAGGCGAGATTTTGCAAATGGTCGCTTTACCGGTTTTTGCAACAGAACAGCACTGGAGTGACGTTTCAACACGATAACGCCAGACCAAACGTTGCTTGAGTTGTATAGCTCTATCTTAATCAGAACAATGTTAATGTGTTACCCTGGCCCGAAAGATCCCCTGATTTGTCACCCACTGAACACGTCTGTGATGATTGAGTGAGTTGGGTTTAACGCCGCTTTTAACAGTAGTCCAGTTATATCGCGGCGTGTCAGCTTAATGTGGGAGGAAGCCCGAAGTGATGCAGGTCTCAGACGTTTACCACTTCGGTGAAACCCACGAGCACGGGTATGGTGCTGACAAACCTAGAAACATAATCGGGGCGAACCGGGATTCGAACCCACAATCATAGGTTTCTGGCGTGCCCAAGGGACGCAACTCTGCACAGAGAATCGCGACTGGGCCACCCGTGCCCCCCGTCTAGGATGAAATTAATTGACGTTTACGACGTCATCCGAATCCTCCAACGACGCTGCAGGAACTCCTCCTCCAAATCCTTCCTCGGATATGAAATGATTTTCCCCAGGGACTTTCATCGACGTAATGGTCTCAATGCACAAGGTGGACACATTCGCTACTGACTCTGACCCTGCTTGTGACCCCCCTGGTGTGTTGTGGCTTATTTGTATATGCCTGCTGCTCTGTTCTTATTTACTGTTAGTCGCTATATAAGTGCAATAATCGTTGACGCGACGTTAAACCCCATTTCACCTCACCTCACCTTATTTACTGTTGATCGTTACAAAACCTTGAAATCTTTGTCTTTCCATGTAATAACATTTCATTTGCGGCAATAAACGTTTAGCACTGATTCTGTTTGTTGTTTGTGTGTCACAATAACTTTTGCCTTAGAGTGTACATGAGAAAAATCTACATAGTACTAGATTAACCCCACTACTGCGCAAAGATCAAAGTTACTAAAACACTTTCAATACATGAATAAGCTTACCTACACATATGAGAAAACGCATATCAAATCAATACATGATAAACGTATGCGATTAAACTGATAGAGAATAAAATCTACGGGAAACAAATTCTCCAGCAATACGCCAATGAACGTCAAGAAACCGAGGTTTGCCGACCGCCGGACAGCGATGAATGGCGGAGGCGCTACGGTCATTAGGCCGTGACAAAATCGGTTTTGCGACCTGGTGACAGCCGCAAATGAATTCATTTTGGTTTTAGAGGCTGCAATAGTTTGCAATCAGCACAACTTCACACAAGATGTGTTTTTTACCATTACAACCTGCCACTCTCCATATGAGTTCCGAACCCCCATGCTTTGCACATCTGCCTGTCGCAGTGTCAACCATCCAGTTGGTGTAGCCCACCTCTGAGCCCTTGTGCCAGTACCATCCGCTACCGTCCCGTAGCAGTCCGATCCAAAACGTTGTATCTAGAAGCAGATGTGTATATTATTTTGGGAAAATAAACACAGACCGCATTGATATGCTATTACAAGGGCTTCAATTTAATATTATGTTTATCGGCCCGTGTGAATTAAGTTTCAGTTTGTATATTTGTTTACCGAGGTTCTACGGGGGACATAGATTTGATATCAAATTGAAGCGACTACAATATTGTATTTATTAATAGGATTTAAACTGAAAAAGAACAACTAAAACAAACTGGAATACTGCAGTTGAACCAGACACCACGAACCTCGGGTTACACATTGTACCGATTAAATGAGTCGAACTCAGGTCTTTCTCGTAAAGAGCCAAAGTTTTAGCCAGGGCGTTGGTTTAGCCAAGTGGTTAAAGCGTTCGCGCGTTACGGCGAAAACCTCACATGGTCGATTCCCCACATGAGTACAATGTGTGAATCCCATTTCGTATGTTCGTGATATATATATTCGCTGGAATATTACTAAGAGCAGCGTATCACCTCACTCACTCACTCACTCACTCACTCACTCACTCACTAACTCACTCACTCACTTACTCACTCACTCACTCACTCACTCACCCACCCACCCATTTTCCTGCCAGCGTATTTCAGCATTTGATATAACAAATACAAAATCAGTATCGTTCTGTTTTGCATCCTTTTCGAAGATAACAAAAACGTATATACCTTGCAAAGGTTCTTTCAGGAGACGAGATATTAGGTGCGTAGGCGTATTTAAGATAAATATTGATTTTTCTGCCAGCGTATTTCAGCATTTGATATAACAAATACAAAATCAGTATCATTCTGTTTTGCATCCTTTTCGGAGATGAACAAATGGCATTTAGAAGTTGGTATGATGAAGGGATATATCTATGGATATACACCCAGATCTCGCTAGCTTGACTGAGGCCTACTCGCTAGGTTAATTTATCTTTCAGCTCAGGTATTTCTTCATTGTCAGTGTGAAGTGAAGATTTTATCACCAACAAACAGTTTGTCAAAGCAAAGGCTTACTCTCACATTCAAATAATTGTCACTGTTATTTGCCCATAAATAAAGAATAAATGTTGAAATGTCACAGTTTCTACTTGACAAGATGGTGGAAACCTATTTTAAAATTAGAGCTGGAATACGGGAACTTCAATATACAGGGAATGTTGAAAGTGTTCATTTTTACTTTTGTAGACAAATTTTGAGCGTTAAAAGCTCAGAGTTAGGAGAGTTTACGTTTACCACTAGTAGCGACTTATATGAAAAAGTGCATCTCATATTGGACATAGTTATTATTTATGCCAGATTCAAGATACCCTAAATGTACTTGTCATGTCCTTATTTCCCTTGACAATGCCGGTCGTAGGACCTGGGTTAGTAACAGACGTAATATATTTTCTTTTCTTTAGGATTTGGATACGCTTGGCTTGCTCAAGATGTTGGCTGTGTTAATACGTTTGTCTCTGCTTGTCATCAATGACTCAAAGATGTGGGCCTCCAGGAATGGAATTCTAAAAACTAGAAGTGTACGGTCAACTTAAACCATCTCAACATAATGAAAAGTGTCTCTTCTACATACAATGGTTCTAATTAAAAAATGCACTTATTCAGATGTGTAGGTCATAATTTACAGACGGGAGGATATGTAAATATCCTAAGAGAAGAGCGACTTTATCGTCACTGACATTCTACAGGAGATACTTCTGTTGTGGGGGCGATGGGGTAGCCTTGTGATTGAAGATTGGATAGATAAACGTTTTTGAATATATTTACTGAGGATAAATTCGTTTCATATTTATGAATGCTGTTTTAAACACATCATATCACTTTAAACCACTTGATTTTGTAAATGTAAACAATATGTAATTTAATCACTCGGGAGAGGCCTACATTATGAATAAAATTATATTGATTGGATCACTGAAAATAAGCGATGACACCAGGTTTTCGCGAATAGGGTAACATGAGCATGTCCTGCCCTACAGGTAGTACCCGCTATTCACAAAATGTGCACCAAAAAGTAAGTAATTATTTAACAAACACATGACATCGAAAAGGATCAGTTCTTTGTAAATTTATCAACGTATTGAAATACGTACCATGTCTTATGGCCAAAGTTATTGGAATCCTATCCTCTTCCGCGCTATAGATGTTGAAGAGCCTTCCTCCGGGGGATCCATATGACGTACAGAATGCAATGGCCTTGCTGCTGGTGGTATCATCGCCAGCAAAGAAACACTTGCCCGTGGGTTTGTGGTAAGTCCAGTTCCTCGGACAATCAGCTGGTGAAGACATTCTTGTATAAGATAGAGAATCTACGAATTTTTTAACATGTAGGAGGAACAATATTTAAGGGAACCCTGACATTTCAACTGTACGAATGAAATGACCGCCTTTGTTTCACAATACACAATTACTGAACGCGGATAGCAAAGTCGTTCAAACATTGCACATTGCACTTGCAAAACCTGCCGTCCACGGTGACACATCCTGGTAACAGGCATGTGCCAATAACCTTCCCCAAACCACATGGTTCATTGATCGGGTACAAGAAAGGAAAATGCCTCCAAACGTGTACATGTCAAAAAATGAAAGGCATGATGTAGCTGCCAGACACATTGGTATATTTAAAGGTTTTATATCCCGACTGGTAGAACGATAACGGCACACGGGTGGAATTAAGATGAGGGTGGGAAGAAGAGCGCTTAGAAAGTTTACTGCAAGGCAGGATTGACATTTACACAGCATCGCGTTGAGGAACTGTTTCCTATCTGCACCAGAACTGAGGACAGCTACAGGGTTGCCAAAAGAATCCGACTTTTGATATGAAACAGGTTGAACACTGCAGGTCTGAAATCAAAATGTGCTTCCAGAGGAATGCTTCTGACTGTGGTACACAGACGCTTCAGACAACAGTGGGCACAGCGTTTTGGAGGTTCTCAACTGCCGCATTGGAGAATAAACCATGAGTTCTGAAGAATCGAGGTTCTGTTTACGCTTTACAGATGGTAGACAACGTGTTTGGAGACTGTATGCAGATAGGTACTATCCGACAGCAGTCCAAGCTCATGATAAGTACTGTGTTGGCAGCATCAAGGATGGATCTAAGGATCGTGCAAGGGTACAGGACTGGTCAACGTTGTGTGGACCAAATGTTACGTCCAGGAGTCACCCCCTTTGCCCAGCGCGTAGGTCAGAACTTTGTGTTCCAGGATGACGACGCACGTCCTCACAGAGCTCGAGTTGCAGTCGACTGTCTTAGGCAGCAAAATGTCACAACATTGTCCCGGCCAACCAAAACTCCAGACATGTCACCGATTGAAATCCTTTGGAGTGTTCTGGGCTGAAAGGTTTGCAACCGACCTCAGCGTTCCCAGAATTTGCAATAACTTGGGCAGGCCTTACAAGTATGGTGAAGGATAAACGGGACACAACTGAGGCGTTTGTATCCAGTTTGCCCCGAATATGTCGTGCCTGGATCGCTGCTCACGGGGCATGGACCAGATATTGGATTTACTATGAAGACTGAATTTCACAACGTTGTTTCTTTATATATCATTTCTGAATAGATTTGGGGGAACAAATTGTTCCTAGTATATTTCATCACAAATTATTGATTTGTGTTGTTTGTCTTTATGTCACAGTATATATCCTAGATACATCACTGAAAATAATCGAGTTTGGACCAGATGTAACAGTGATTGATATTATAACGCATTCATCTTCGGAGTACAATGACAAGGAAACCAAGCATCTCACTAAGCCTGACTAGTAGGTTAGTGGGCTCTTAGGACAAGCAAAAGAGTGCTTGGAACATGCTCTTATACCCAGCTACCCAAGAAGTTGACATAGAATGCTGTTCCTTTGTTACCTTATTGTGAGTGATAACAACATGTTCTTTGTTATGGTTATATATTATAACAGAATATATACTAGTAGGCGTTAAATATCTTAAACGCAACTTCTATTCAGTCGACTAAGTGACCCCCATTTGGTTTCTAGGGGGAGGGGGGCATGTTTAGATGAATAGTTTGATCAGAAATATGTCCTAAATGAATAGTTTTTTGGCAGTGGTGAATCAAATGAATATTTTGCCTTTATATTATGTGGAAAGTACCCAAACGTCAACATTGTTGTGTTAATAGTGAAAATGAATACAGTGTTTGATGGTCCTGAGTAAATATATAGTTTGTTGGACATAGCTGGGAAAGACAGATTGTACCCAACCCCTCTTATCTCCCTTTCACCTCCCCACCACCATACAAACCAAACAGATGCTACCGATCTGTAAAATCTTCACCAACAAAACATTTCCACTCCTTATTGCTGAAGTAAGTAAGCTACTTTTAACAATATTCCAGCAATATCACGACAGGGTACATACAATATGAGTTTCACACATTGTACTCATGCGGGGAATCGACCATGTATGTCTTCGCCTTGGATCGTTTCATTTCATCGGTACTTTATGTAACCCCGGTTCTTGGTTTCTTGGTGGAATAATGCTTAAAGTCGTGTTAACTCACTCATTGTTTTTACAAGAATTTTATTCGTAATTTTACCACAGAACAACTTACATCTTATAAATGTAATGTAGGAGACACTTGGTTGGGAAATGAGGCCAGGTACTACTTCGTCGAACCAAAGATCACTCTGGTAGCACAGATGAAGACTACGGTCATAGAACACTGATGCGCATGTCCGGTTGTAGTAGCAGGTGTTAACACAGTGGGCAGCTGACAAAGAGGCTTCAGGGTGAAGGTCAGGAGGCAGAAGGTTGTGGAACAAGACAGTGACAGACAGCGAAGCTGCCATGGTTACCACGCAATCCCTTAATACTTTATCTGAAACAAAACTTATAATGTCAAGTCCTACATGTGTATTTTAGTCAACAACTCATTTTTGTATGTCAACATCTATTGTAGAGATGCCAGGTTGTAGACATAGTGAAAAAAAAGAATTTTCAAACAAACTTTATTTAATAACATGGTTTTAGCTATTTTGAAGTACTTCTGTAGCAGTTGGTTTGAAATAACTCGCTGACAGTGGACCTTTCGTTCTTTGGGCGGACGCTCTACCACTACACCATAAAGGCGGTCGAGTTCGGTTAAATACCAGTATAACAGTATTCTAGTTATATCACTTAACGATGGGGTTGGTTTCTAAACCATCATCTCGTTATATTGGCCCTATTGTGAACCAGATCTTGTCACCATACCAATCACCCTTACATCATTCTCTCGCTATAATGACCCCGTTACAACCACTTTCTTCATCTTAACCAGTCGCAAAACAAAACTCTCTCTAGTATGACATCACTGCACAACAGGGACTTGCTTTAAGTCAGCCCTTCCTAATTCCACCCACCACAACATAGTAAGGGAATGGCGGACGTTTCAGGCCGTGGCATCATATCGATAAAGTCGGAAGTTTGTATAAGAAAAAGGTATCGCATCCAAATTAAGCCTGAACCTGCAAGTGTTTGCCCTTAAGTATGCCCCTGGGGATACTCTGTCAACAAAATTGGCCAAAGCATATTTTGTATGTCAAAACAAAGCTCGGCTTGTTATGTTTTTTTAAATTTTTATGTTGTTCTCATTTGTGAACTTTTTCTGTAAGGTAAAATGACCATAAAAAATATATTTGATTTGAATAAAATATGTTTTCAACAGCTAGGTTGGCCAAAAAGCACTTCTACATCAAAACAAAGCTCACATTTGGGATCCTTGAGGTACAAAACCTACAAAAAGCGCCTTAATTCAGGATCCTATGCCTTTTGGTTATGAAGTTGGGACAAAATCAAATAGGGACTGGCGGCCATCTTGGATTTTGCCAATATGGCCGCCCCAATGAGCGTCGGCTTTGGCGCCCTCCAAAAATTGATTAATCATGTTCTGGCCTACACCTGTGCCAAATGCTTGTAGACGCATCTGCACAATACCTCATAATGGCTCCCTAAGGGCATGGACTAATACATTAATATTTCAACAGCATCTCACTTGCGTTCTTTACTTTTGCAACAGACACAATGTCCGTGAGCGTCACCTCTGTCAAGTAACGAGTGATATGGTACATTAATACTCCCGTGTCTCCCTAGGAGACATGTTTGAAAACGTAAACCAATTCTAAAAAATATTTTTCAAACTCGAGTTTCATTAATTCTATTGCTACCAGGTAGTTCACCTGGTAGACATTCACAATACTTTTATTTTAAAAAAGCCTCCTCTCACTGTGAACACGGAACACAGAACAAAATGATTTAAAAACCCTTAACTTTCAAACAATGGAAAACTAAATTAACAGCCAACTTCTCTAACGTTTGTTTGAAATAAAATGTAAAAACATCATCAGCCTCGCTGTATGGTAAAGTAAACATAAACAAAAAGCAGATTGGGGAATGGTTTAAGAATTATCTGTTTAATATAGGGTCCCTGGTTTCCTTCTGATTGGCTAATGTCGATTTCTTGACAGTCATTTCATTGGTCGGTCAAAATTCGCGAAAGGTCGTTCTGACGTGACCCGTAATGGGATGTCCTCAGATCTTTGTTTAGCGGTAGCGAAAACTAAGATCTGATTTTAATGAGATTGGGGTAGCATGGGTCTTCGGCAACCCATGCTTGCCGTAAAAGGTGACTATGCTTGTCGTAAAAGGCTAACGGGATCGGGATTCGAGAACTATTTGATAGTAATTCAAACACACATGCTCAAGACATAGCCGGATTCGTACAAGGGACAAACCTTTCTTATGATTATAGGAATACTTCAAGCGCTTTTCATTACATCCAGTTTGACGGTGAAGCTGACCCCCCAAAAGTTCTTTGGAAGTCTGTTGATTGTGCTGGCCAAGGCAAGACGTTGTATGGGGCACATGTTTTCTTGCTGAAGCAGTGTCCGGTGATTCTGTTGCAAGATCGGTAGTACAACATGATAGAAGGAATTGGTCCATGTAACGCTGTCCAGTGATGTTTATATCCAAATCACCAGATTTGTCTTGACTTGGTGAGGTGGTGAGGTGAAATGGTGTTTAATGTTTAACGTCGCGTCCAAGATTATTGCACGTATATAGCGACGTGCATGTACGTGTGTGTGTGTGTGTGTGGCTGCTTGTACTAGGCCGGACTGATGCCGATTTATAGTGCTAGCTCACTGAGATACCATGCCACAGTTTAACATGAATACCCCACTCAGACACAGTATACTGACTCCGAGCCGACCAGTCCTTGTTTTAGTCCCTTAATGCCGAGCGCCAGACAGGGTAACAACAAGTACCATCTTTTAACGTCTTTTGGTATGACTTGGCCGGGGATCGAACCCCGGACCTTCCGCTCTCCGGGCGGACGCTCTACCACTAGACCACGGAGGCAGTCTGTCTTGACTTGGCAACAGATGCCAGCATGTAAAAGGCACCCTTATAACAAGAATAATTTAGCATAGGCCGTCCGAGAAAAATGGGTCGAATCCTATTTCTTCTGATCAGGCGTCTCACATCTTCTGCCAGTCGTCGAGTTGAGGCGTTCGTTAATGTCCATGATGGACATACACGATATTGACTTATAAGTGTGGCACTCTGAAGGATTAAAGGGAGTTCATGTGCTGATTTCAGAATTGATGGTTGATCGGGTACTGTACAACTGGACCCATCCTCCAAACTGTGGACACACTACCTTCATTTTTGTTCTCATTAACGGTGTAACTTGCAATGATGTTCTTAATTCATGTCTTTTGACAATACAAGTTTCTTCCCAGACATGTTTATTATGTATTTTTTATGCTCATGTCTCTATGTATATATATAGAGAGAGAGAGAGTTTATTGCAGTAAAGGGGCCACCGGCCCATTATACAATACATATTTCATTGATTTTTTCAATTCAATTGAGCGCCATACAATATTATACATTGGTCAATCAAAGTGACAATTAATTAATATTGAGATGTTTACATCTTTTTTTCATTGACAGGAAAATATATTTTCGCTAAGACATTTACAGTGTAGGCATTTTGTGATGACAGTAGTTGTTGGAATTTAAAAAGAGTTGGGTTTTGTACATAGTATTTCGGTAATAGACTTCTTATATCATTATAGAATGGGCATATCATTCAAAAATGGTATTCAGTTTCGACACAAGGTACGATACACAATGGACAGAATCTTTCATTCGCACTTATACCAAGTGTACGTCCGTATTCAATCATAAGTTTATGGTTTGAACATCTAAATTTAATCAGAGCATTTCTATAAGGATGTACAATGACAAGTGATAGGTATTCTTCAAATTTAAAGACAGTCTTAACAGACTGGTACATTTTCAATTTAGAATATTTTGACAAATCCTCAAACCACATTTGGTAATCAATCTCTTTACAACGCTCTTCAAACTCTGACAAAAAGGAAGTGATACAATTAACATTTTGGTTTTTCCAAACAAATCCAAAACCGTACTTAAATAAAAGCATTTTAACATTATATGCCCAACAACTCTTGTCTAATTCAGCTAACCTATATTGAAAAGAATATGCCTGCTGTAGAATCACATTATCTTGTTGATAAATTAATCTCAGCCAATACTTAATTATTTTGATGTACATCTTAGCTTTTAATGAACAATATCCAACTTCACCTCTAGCAACAACATTTGGTGTGCTTCTACCAAGACAGAGTAATTGCTTAAAGTAAGTATCGTAAACACGGGTTGCGTCTGGCGATGGATGAAAACCCCAAATTTCAGATCCATAAGTCAACACTGGAAACAATTTAACATCAAAAATATACAGCAATACCGGCAATGATAAATTTCTAAAATTATTACATTGGGAGCGCATTGTATTCAAAACCTTGGACATTTGAAAAGACAGAGTTTTCTGTGTTTTATACCAGGAACCACTGCTAGAGAACTGAACACCTAAATATTTATAGGAAGGAACTATTTCTAATGGTCTATTGTCAAGATAAAACTTTTCATAGTTCCTAAGTCTACCACCTTTTCTAAAAACAACTACTTTTGTTTTCTCAACATTAACGCAGAGGCTCCATTTTTTACAATAAACAGATAATTTGTCAAGTCTTTTTTGTAGACCCTTTACTGTACTATCGAAGAGTGCCATGTCATCTGCAAACAGTAACATAAAAATATTACAAATACCCAGTTCTATACATCTGTCCTCATCTACATTAAAAAAATCTATAATATCATTAATATACAATGAAAAAAGTAGTGGAGATAGTTGGCATCCCTGTTTCACACCGTTTAAGCAGTTAAAAAAATCAGTAAAACCATCCTGCAGTGAAATACATGACTGAACATTGGAGTACATATTTCTAATAAGGCGAAAAACACTTCCTTTTATGTTGTACAACCAAATCTTATATAACATACTTTTTCTATTAATTGAATCAAATGCAGCTTTAAGGTCAATAAAACAACAATATAATCGACCTTTATACAAAGCAAACTATTTAGCGATCAATGTATCTAAAACAAAGATGTTGTCCAGTGTTTGAAATCCATGTCTAAAACCAGCTTGTTCAGGGATAAGAATATCATTAGTTTCAACAAATTTGGTCAGTCTTTCACATATAATTTTAGCAAATATTTTACCGGAAACTTCCAGTAAAGTTATGGGGCGATAATTTTTAGGATTGTTAACATTTCCTTTTTTATGAATTGGAAGTATTGCACCAAGTGACCACTGTTTTGGATAGATGCCAGTTCTCAATACTGCATTGTATAATGTCAGTAATAGGTTAACGCAAGCAAATGGAGCATTTTTGAAAAAGTCAATTGGTATACCACTATATCCTGGAGCTTTGCCCTTTTTCATACCTGAAATAGCAGC